TCCACAGATACTACTATGCTGGTTCTTGACTGCCGCTCTGGAGATACTACTGTCATATCAGTTCAGAGTGGACCTCAACTCAAGGAAACGCTGTGTGAAGTCGAGGTGTGAAGTACTCGTGTCATTGGAGGACGGGCCACCAGGCTCGGTGTAGTCTAATTCACTTCAATTTATTGTGATAAGCATTAGTTATCAGTATCATTATTATATTTCTATCATTATTGTACTCTTACTTTCTAAAACTTGTAGTATATATATTATAATTTTATTTATTTATAAAAGATGCAAGCGTCATGCATTTTGATCTTCGTAGGCTAGCAGGTCTATAATTACATGATTTTATTTTGTAAATGATAATAATATAATAGCTGCTTCTTTGCTTGACAGAGCACCCTTTCTTGTGACTACCTGTCGTCCTATTGAATCATACAACATGAGAATAAGGTGGGTGAATTATATAAAATACATGTCGCTACGTTTACGACTTACCTGTCTCGTTTTATCATCAACCATGGCTCGTAGTCGTTCTGTAAGTGTATCTAAGAAAGCCTGACTCCTGAAGAAACTGTTAGAAAAGAGAAAAGTCGAGCAACGCTTGGAGCGTTGCTCATGAAAACAAAAACGGTAGTGCCCAGACCCAACGGACCATGAACGGAATAACCACAATAAAAACGGAAACGGCGCTACAGTTTAATCGCCGTTCAACGTAAACGGAACGCGAAGTTTTTATTGTCTTCTACTGTATGTATAAATTAGCAGTCATAGACATTAGTACATGTAGATTTTTTTCACTCATTCATCATTACACAGAGATAACGTGACAGCATGAAATATGCGTGAGCCACATTGTGATGCTATTAAATCAGAGCTTAGGCAAGCCTAAAAGCATGACTTGTTGCATTAATCATTAATTTTGGTACATAACATACACATGCAAGGTAAAAGAAGAATGAAACGTACAGTTAAGTCAACTCCAATTACATTCATATATTCACCTTTCACGCCCGCATTGGCAAATAAAAATTTCAATGATAAAAAAATTGTAATGAGGCTACCTGCCCTCTCCGCCAGCGAAACAGATCAAATTGGAGTGGGCTAATAAACTGGCAATGCTGATAAGCAATAAAATATCTGGAGATTGGGGGTTTTATATGTACATTAAGATTAAGAGTCATATCACTAATTCACAAATGATATTAGACAACTTATATAGCAAAACTTGTGTTTGAACTACATTTCAACACTAAACCAATATCATTATCAAATACTAATATAGTACTATAAGCTACTACTTCGTACTAACAAGCATACATTCACAAACATGTACGTTATCAGAAAACCCACTCAAAATTTTTGTGGCAAGTTATAATAATTGTAGTCAAAGGTAAATTAGTAGTGAATTTGTAAAATGGGTCTGAATAGGCAAAAGCATCCTCAAAATGCCATCATTGCCATGTACAGTTAAGTACATGTACATGCACACAAAGATATTATGCAAGAACTTGACAGCCTAGGCAAGCTTAGAGCTGTTAAAATGAAGTGTTGCATGTTGGTTAGTAACAGGCCTTTGCTTGCATAGCCAAAAATTATAAAAGGAACTGATAGCAAAGGCAAGAACTATAAAACTGAGGAAAGTTGATATGGATATCAGCAAAACAATAAGTAAGAACTTTCTTAATGCTTTTCCTATTTCAGTGCTTGTTCTTAGTAAAAATTAACTAAACCTAAAACAATTTTGACCTACATGTAGCTTACTAAAATAATAAATGTATGGTAAACTAAGAATATTTGCTTAGTTTCAGTAAACTGTGTACAGTCACAGTTTCAGTGGATAATAACTTTTCCAAAACTAATGCTAAAACTGTCACTAAATACTATTAATACTATTTCATTTTCTAGATATTATACGTGTATAATTATGTGTAGCGAGCTAAATACGGTTGATAATTAAAGTAAATAGTTGAACATGCATTTTGTCTTATTTTATGATGGA